CTGGAATGGGTGGGGGCAGTGCGGGCTGGGGCAGGAGCTCCATGGGTTTCTGCTTCACACTGTCTTGGTCTATTTGTTCCCTCCACACGTTAGTCTCCATTGAAGGCCACCACAGCACAGGCACAAGAGCAGTGGGCTTGAGATTGGAAGAGCTGGCTCTAGACCCAGGATGAAGGGAATGAATCCAGCCTCCCAAGGTGGGTGGGGGACCTGAGGGTGACTGGGCCTATACAAAATGTTCATTCATCCCCCAGCGGTCCTTCGGTTTGTCTTATTTTTAATATATTAAGTTTTCTTCATGCCTGATCTAGGGCTTCCTCCACCTCATTGTCTGGTTTTTATTAGGGACATATTTCATATAAACATAAAAGTAGAGAATAGGATAATGAATCCTCACATATCCACACATCCATACTCCAGCTTTGATAATTATCCGCACGGGGCCAATCTTGTTTTTCTACCCTCTCCACCCCACCCCTCACCCCCCCCAGATTACACTGCCTCTTGAGGTTTGGAGGTTTATCTTACCCTGGCAACCTTAATTTGCTCATTCATCAACTCAGTATCTCTTTATTAAACACTGCCTATGAGTCAGGCATTACTAAGTTTATTAAGGACCTAGTATACGCCTAGTGCTTTACACACCTAATTTAATTTTATCTTACCTTCCCTGTTATTATCTCTCTTTTACAAATGGTAAAATTGAACCTCAGAGAGATTTAATACACTAACTTCAAATTTTGCTTTTCCTACTGTCCCATGGTCTTGACCTTAAATTACTATATATCACAGTGCCTACCCAGACAACAAAGTCTTCATTCAATTATGTATTACTGAACCTATGGTGGGTGCCAGGCCCTGAGCTGAACATAACTGACATGATTCCTGCCTTTAAGGAGATTCAACAGGCATTTACAATTCAAAATGTTAAATGTTACCATTGGTTTAAGCCAGGCAAAAACAGAACCAAACTCAGTCTTAGTGACTCAAAGAAGGCATGATATGTAAGACAAAGCAAAGGACAGTGAGAGTGAGCATAGATAGAACATTCCAGGAGAAGAAAAAGCAAGTGCAAAGGCTAGAGGAGGGTCTGTTGAGTTCTGAGAACTGTGATAGAGAATTTCAGTATGGCTAGAATATGTGGTGTTGAATGGCGGGATATTGAAAAACAAGGTAGAAGAAGCAGGCAGAATCTTCAAGGATCTTTGATGCTACACTTTAGACTCTACTCAAAAGACAGTGAGGAGCCAGTGAAGGGTCTTTAAATAGGAGAGTGACATCAGATTTGAGTTTTAGAAAAATCACTCTGGGTGTGGAGAATTGATTTAAGGGGGTTAGAGAGGGAGACCAGTAGGAGGTTCATAAGAGTAATGGAGGCGAGTGGGGATTGTGCCTTGGACAAGGACAGATGGCAAGGTATATAGGAGGGCAGGGAAGTAAGACCCGATGTGCTTTTGAAAGTGCTAATGAAAGTGCTGAGAAAGGAGGGTGTTAGCTCATTCCAGGGACTTTTCATTCAAACTCTCAAATGATATTTACATTAAGGCTGGTGGTGGGGTCTTTCAGAGGAAGTATTGTTGCTGGAAGTGATCTCAGGGAACACCTTTCTCCTTCAACATCACAGTGAAAGAAATGCCCAGAGAAGTAAAGCAATTTGCTCAAGGTCACACAGCATGTGGCAGACTATGACTCCTTGTTCTTTACACAGCATTACTCAGCCTCTAGTGAGGCTAATGGCTGGGGGTGCTGTGCCAACATGACTAGACCTAACTAAGTTGAAGCAAGCAAGATTTGAAGGGGTTGGACATAGATTCCTCCTCCTCCCCTCTGCCTCCCCCTGCCATTCCTTCCCCAACACGTGGCTCCAGGGATCAGTCAAGGAATTATCATTCAGACAGTTCCTTTATACAGAACAAGAGGTACAGAGATTAAGGTCAGCGGTAAGAGTCCCTATCCTGAAATCTGAGATTCCTCTCGTCAACACTCCATTCCCCACTCCACCTGAGGAAGGGGATAAAGAGCTTTCTTGAGGCAGCCAATCCCACCCCCTCCTTTCCCCAACTCTTCTGTTTCTCCAGCTAAGTTCTCACTGAGAGGCCCCGCCCTCAGCGGCTCCACTGTTGCCATGGCAATTAGGTGGGTGGACAGCCTATCCTATCTAGAGGCCACCCAGCCCTCGCGTGGGGAGTTACCATAACAACCCCCCTAGTAATAAGAGGGGGTTGGGTCCCGCCTCCTTCCCCCGCAAATAGGTGGGTGGCTTGATTGACAGCTGGACACACAAAAGAGGAGTGAAAGAGAAGGAAAGGCGTCAAAGGAAAGCTAAGAAGGAAATGGGGCAGAGAAAAGGCAAAATACAAGGGAAGGGTAGGAAACGCGTGTACGCACGCGCAGTAGCTGGTGGGCGCGCTCCGCGGCCGCCTCGGCCGCCGCCCACTTCTTTCACGCCAGGCTCGCGCGGTAGCTCAGTCTGCGCGCGCCTTTCTCTCCTGCGCCTGCGCGCAGGTGTCGGCGCCTAGGGGGAGGGGAAACCTGGCGCGCTCGCGTCACGTTCTTTCGTCCACCCTCCCGGAGCTCGGCCACTCCGCGCCTGCGCAGGAGAGTCGGGAGGCTCGGATTGCAGACTCCCGGCGATAGCTCCTGTCAGCCTGTGGGTCGGTCTTCCCACCGGCCCTCCCCTCCCCGTTCGCCGGGGGAGGCGCGGTGGAGTCCGTCCCCAGGATCCCCCGATGGAGGAGAAGCGGCGACGGCGGCAGCGGAATAATCGAACAGAAGCGTGAGCGGCCCCAGGGCCTCATTCCCCACGGAGGCCATGGGCGACCCAGCCCCCGCGCGCAGCCTGGACGACATCGACCTGTCTGCCCTGCGGGTGAGCGCGCCGCCCCCAGCCTCGCCCTGGTTCTTGTCCCCGCCGCAGGGGAGCGGGGTGGCTGCAAGCTTCACGTGTTCACCGGGCGCCCTCTCCTCCAGCCCGGTTCCCCTCGGTGACCCCTGCACCCTCTCTGGGCGCCCGCCGCTGCCGGGCCCCTGCCCTCTACTCCCCTTCTCTCTCCACTTGCTGCAGATTCTCGGAGCCAGTTGAGTCCCCACCCTGTGGTGCCCCGCCCCCACACTTCTCTGCCACCTCTACCTTTGCTCAGGTTCCGGACCCCCTTCCTCTAAGGTGTTTGAGGGTCATTCTCTGGTTCCCCTAAACTTAAACTCCCGTCACCTGCAGAATCTTTATTGTGATGCCCCTCCCTGGCGCCCCACCTCCTCTTGAGTCTCCTTTCACCCTTGCCCTTACTTATGTCTTCCTCCCCCTCCTCTTTCCGGGTTTCTCGAATTTTGACTTTGCAACTGTCTTGACAGCCTCCCCCTCATCACCCTTTCTCCTTCTCTCCCACCCCTGAATTGCATCTCTCCCTGGTCGGAATTTCAGCCTCCAGTCTCCACCCCACACCTCCTGCCGTCGCTCTCATCCCCATGTTCAGCTCTCCTTATCCCTTCTCTCGTATTTCAAGTGCAGTAGTCCAGATCCAGGCATTTCCGGTCTCAGGGTCCCTGCATATTACATTACTAACTCTGCAGCAGTGTGGGGTTGGGAGGAAAGACAAGTGCACCGGGGAGAAAAGAGAAGCATTTATTTTCTTCAGAAATTAGCATGGGCTGGGAAGAGGATGTTTATATGTATGTACACACAAAACACAGGCTGCCTGTGGTCAATGAGGAGATTTGGAAAACCTGGAGGGAGGGGATAATGGAGATCTCAAGGGAGAGGCTAATTAGAAAAGGGATAAGAGGAGAC